TCCTGCGTTAGATATGGTTTCTCCGTATCCTCCGTAACGTCATGCTGTTCTGATTCCTGCGTTAGATATGATTTCTCCGTATCCTTGGTTACACTTTGTATTACACATTCTTCCTTCGTATCACCCGTCACCAGTTCCAATTCTTGCGTAACACATTCTTTGTCCGCATCACCCGTTACGTGTTCCAGTTCCAACTCTTGCGTAACACACTGTTCCTCCGTGTTATCCATTACGTGTTGCAGTTCCGAATCTTGTGTAACACATTCTTTGTCCGTATCACCCATTACGTGTTCCAGTTCCAACTCTTGCGTAACACACTGTTCCTCCGTGTTATCCATTACGTGTTGCAGTTCCGAATCTTGTGTAACACATTCTTTGTCCGTATCACCCATTACGTGTTCCAGTTCCAACTCTTGCGTAATACACTGTTCCTCCGTATCACCCGTTACGTGTTCCAGTTCCAATTCTTGCGTAACACATTGTTCCTTCGTGTCATCCATCACGTGTTGCAGTTCCAAATCTTGCGTAACACATTCTTTGTCCGTATCACCCGTTACGTTTTCCAGTTCCAACTCTTGCGTAACACACTGTTCCTCCGTGTTATCCATTACGTGTTGCAGTTCCGAATCTTGTGTAACACATTCTTTGTCCGTATCACCCATTACGTGTTCCAGTTCCAACTCTTGCGTAATACACTGTTCCTCCGTATCATCCATTGCGTATTGCAGTTCTGAATCTTGCGTAACACATTGTTCCTCCGTATCATTCATTACGTGTTGCAGTTCCGAATCTTGCGTAACACATTGTTCTTCCGTATCATCAGTTAAGTGTTGCTGTTCAGATTCTTGCGTTACACACGGCTCCTCCGTATCATTCGTTATAATTTGCTGCTCCAAGTCTTGCGTCACAGATTGTTCCTCCCTTATACATTGCTGTTCCGATTCTTGTGTTGCGTATTGCCTGACTAAGTCCTCCGTTACGTGTTGTTCGTTTGATTCTCGACTTACATATTGTTTCTCCGTATCCGCCATCATTTCTTGTTGTTTTGATTGCTGCGTTAGATGTATCTCCTCCTTTTTGTCCGTTACATGATGTTGTTCTTTACTTTTCTCTGGTTCGCCTTGCAGTTCCGATTGCAGCGTTACATGATGATCTTCTGTTTCTTCCGTTACTTGTTGCTGCTCCTCCTGTCGTGTGATAAACTGTTTTTCCGTTTCCAGCGTTACGTGTTCATACTCAGACATTTGCGTTACAACTAATTTTTCCGTTTTGTCTGTTGCATGCTGCAGTCCAGACTGTTCCGTGTCACGTTGTTCTACACTTTCCGTTACTTGTTGCGGTTCCCATTCTTGCGTTACATGATTACATTCCTTTTGCTGCTGTGATGAGTCGTCCGCGTCTACATGTTGCGTTATGCCTTGCGTCACGTTTCGCGTTACATCTTGCGTTACATCTTCGATTTCTGTAGAATTTATGGTGACAGATTCTTCTTTAGTTTCGTTTTGATCTATTTCTGGTTTTATTTCGTCAATTTCTTCATCTTGCAAAGTGAAATTTGTCTCAAGTAAAATCCAGTTCTTATTAGATTCAGAAAAACATTCACGCCCTTTGCAATCATTTTCAGTAGTATCTACATGGGCTAGCTGCTCAAAGATATCATACTGTTGTCTCTTTTGGGGAGCAATAAGACCCTCAGTGATCAGGGTCAAATCATCCAAATAATCCTGCTCAAGATCCGAACAATTTGACTCCAAGCCATCGTCATCTTCGAAAAAGTAAAGAACTTTTCCATATTCTTTTCGTTCAATGGCGTTCTCAGAAAACAAACATTGTGAGACATTCTCGTTAAGTTCTTCGCCAGCTATCTCGTTTAATTGACTAAAGAGATATTCACGCGAACTTGTACAGTCAACGTTTATACACTGAACTCGGGCTTCCTGTGTGTTTTCCAAGGTCAAGTCTAATTGGTTAGTTTCGAAATTTAGTTTCCTTTTTTTGCATTGTAGCAATGGTTCTTCAGCAAGATCAGTGGTTCTTTTCAGAAGTGATATAGAACACCCTAAGGTGTTTTCTTGTGTTATAATCTCATTATCTAAAGTAGGATTGTAGCAACTTACAGGGTCACTAGACGCATTAGCAGCCTCGAGTTCATCAGATATATCACCAGTTTCGATTACCATAACTTCATTAAGAGTTGTAAACGAGGTATTTTTATCATTATCTTTGATATGATTGGCTGATTCATTAAGTGATTTCACATTGAATGATTCACATACGTCTGAGAATGGAACAGAACTATTCTCGTCTTCCTGAATATCCAAATATTTGTCGCTCAAAGTAGAATGTCCTTGGTTGTCATGCAGTTCTTGTCGGGGTCGCCGTTTCGTGTTCTCAGCCTGAGATGTGTCGAATGAGCTTTGTCGCTGCAAGTTATCAACGTCAAGTTGTGCGGACATAGCACCAATTTCACCATTCTGTTCGTCATCTGTGTTTTCGTTGAATAAATGTTCCTCTGAGACGCCCTTAATTCCTGGGTAGTCATTCTTTTCGAAGATAGTTTTGAGTTTGTGGCATTTTATGTCATTTTGAGTAATATTGTCGTCTTTTCTCGCCTGTTCACTTTCAGTATTGCTCATTCTCAAGTCCAAGTCAACAAGTACAGATTCTTGTAACGGTTTGTTTTGTATTAGATAGTTATCATCAGTGTTTATCTCACTATTATGAGTAGCAATAAGAGTGTTTTCTTCTTTCTTGTCATCACTTGTGTCGTGGCTCTTACTTGATGAGATTTCGGTGTGTTGATATCCTTCACAACTCGACTCACTGCTAGCAATACAGGAATTTAAAATAGCTTCAGTAACTCCACTCCCTAATTCCATACTGTCCTGATTTTGGAGATTTGAAAGAGGATATTCCTGCTTTTTTAGATTACTGTAGGAAAAGACGACTAATCCTTGAGCTGTAGTTTGTAATCTCTTGAGATTTGTCTCTGGAGTATCATTTTCACCATGAGCATAGCCTCGCAGGGTTTGACCTTCTGAGTCATGTGACGAATTCTCACTTGCCGATTTGGAAAGACTTTCACGAGATCGGTGATCAAATAAACTATTGGGAAGTTGCTCATCATTCTCCTCGTCGTTCTCACCTTTTTTCATTTTCTTAACATCAATTTTTTCGGTAGCAAATTCCATGGCAACCGGTGACAACGCTATGTCATCCATATTGCTGTGACGATGATCTGGCTTACGCATAGCTGTCGTTGCAGCGAAGGAAACGTCGAAAATCACATGTTGCCAGCCATCTCTTTTTCCGTCGGTGATCTCTCCGTGAGCCCCAGCATGGTCCTCATCCTCCCGCTTCAATCCACTATCATTTCCTTGGAGACCAAACTCTACATTTTTGTTTTTAATATCGTTTTCAAGTTCCAATAAAACATTGGTTAAATCACGATTGCTCAAGTGACTATCACCAACTATTGTTTTGCTTAAGCGTCTTTCAAAATGTTCCATATTTTTCTCAAAGTTTATGCATGTTTCGTTTAGTTTAGGGATGTGTTTGGCGCCTTTAGATGATAAAAAATCATCGTCTTCAATTCGTGTCTCTTGGTTTTTCATAAAATCATTAGAAGCGTTGGTTTTTCCACGCTTCGTGTCTTGCACATCACGTGATTCCATACCAGCGTGTTCACGCTGCATGCTGGTGCTGCAGGGTCTATTCCCTTCGTCCAATAGACTCTCGAGGATTTCTATATCAGAAAGACTTCTCATTTTCACCGGCGCAACAGCATCGTTCAACTCCAAATCGCCTAACGATAGTCCTCCTTCACACTCTAACGGCTCCATTAGGACTCAAAGACGTAACTTTTCTCTCTCTTTCAAGTCGATCTACCTTTTAGACGAAACCCATTTCGAAATCTTCTTGAATGCGTTATTTTTCATGATCTGTAAAGCTAGAAATCACTGCGACACCACTGTCAAAGGATCAACTTTTCTTTACGACATGGATTGTGACAATGGATAGAATATCAGACGTCATAATCACAAGCAGACGAGCAAAGGTTACGATCCAACTAATACACCAGACAATTGAAAAGTCATTGAGTGCGATAAGATCTAGAAAGCGCCCCAATAAAAACACCTCCAAATAACACCACACGAGAGAAAGGTGTATTGATTAATCTATCGCATCATCTTGAAGGATATATCAGTTTTTGGTTCATGACAAAAAGGGTGGTAATGCGTCTCTACTCTTTCATCGCGCACGTGACTTGGGTTACGTTAGTATCCCTGAATACTTGTAATTGCTAATACATGTGTAAATCATATCAAATAACTATCAACAAATGAGTATAAAAAACTTATAACAAAAAACATATCGCTTACGGAAGAACTACCTTTTTAACAATACATCGATGTTGAGTTTGATTAACATTTTTTTAAGGCCGTCTAGCATCACGAGTACATAAATCAACCATTAGATCAAATTAGTCGACATATCAAGATATCGGTTACAGTATCTACTTGAAAATAACGTCACGGCTTCTCGAATAGACGTAGGAACCATACAGACGGATAAAACCCACACTTATCATAATTTCGATCGAAATGCTAAGCCAAATAGCACTATTTTCCTCGATCTCATCAATTAAACTTATAACTGATATTCTGAATTAGACCAAAAACAGCTGGAAGATATGATCGTTTACAGATTTTGATCTAAAAACCCACAATGATCAGTTTTCCCGTAGCCCCATGAAACCGTGTCTTAACATAAAACGATGGGAAGCCAATGGTGTAAAATCTGGAATCCGTGTTCGTAGCGTATGCGTACTACTAGTCTTTAAGGCGGCTTGCTTTTCCTTCTCACTCAGTTTACTAATAAAGTAAATAAAGTAAGACACCATACCTGGTATTTTAATGTTGATGTAACCATGGGACGGAGATTCGGGTTCATTCTCAGTTAGGTAGTCATTGGGTCCTGTGTTTAAGAATCATAAATACGTATTAGTGATAATGCAATACTCCGATTTCGAGTTCTGGTTTGCTCTGTGTTAGCCTCAAAACCAAGCAACATATTCTTTTGTTTCATTGATAGCCCGAGAAAACGCATGGAATTTGAAAAGAAAGACAATGGAATTTATTTGAAATCTCACACTTTTATTCTCACAATTAGGAATGTTTTGCGCACAAATGAGGCTAACACAGAGCATTGGAGAATTCGAAACTGGATAATTCTGTTTCTTCGTTGTTTTATTAATGTGACATAATGTAGAGCGGTGTGGTAAGGTGCGAGGCTGTGTTGTGAGAGGATTCGGTTTGTTCTGATGTGACCGTATGTTGTGACAGGGTGCATGAGATAGAATTGTGACAAATGGTGCTTATGCAACATGGTGTGGTATGTTATTATGGTGTGGTAAGGTGTGAATGTTGTTTTGTGACAGAGAGGGTGCGCCAGTATGGTGCTTGTGCAACATGGTGTGGTACGTTATTATGGTGTGGTAAGGTGTGAATGTTGTTTTGTGGTAGGTTATTATAGTGCGATGTGACCGTAACAGGGTGACAGAGAGGGTGTGCCAGTATGGTGCTTGTACGACATGGTGTGGTATGTTATTATGGTGTGGTAAGGTGCGAATGTTGTTTTGTGACAGAGAGGGTGCGCCAGTATGGTGCTTGTACGAGTGACAACATGGTGTGGTATGCTATAGATGGTGTGCTAAGGTGTGTTGTAACTGGGTGCTACGTTGTGGTGTGATATAAGTCATGAGTGAAACTACCACCATCAAGTCAACTAACCAGAAATGCTCGACGTCTTGATATCAACGTTTTCGTATGAATCAGACTTTGTCAGAGCCCTTTTATCCTTTTGATCGCCCTGCCCAGAACCTGTCAAATCTTCTACACTCACTCCTCGTTTCATGGTTTCATACTTCGACATACCCGTGTCATCTTCAGGTAACATTTGCTCGTATTCTTGATTATCTCTATTGCTTTTACTTGGTAATCGCTTTTCAAAACCTTTATGTACGTTTTCATAGTTATGCGAGCTACACTCAACATCGTCCTGATCGACTTCAGTTATTAACATACTTTGAATGACATCTTTTTGCCTGCCTTTAAGCTCTACATTTTCGTAAGACATCAATTGTCTTCGGGTGAAACCTGGAGACAAACGTCCATCATTATCGTTAAGTTCAAGTTTCGTAGGCGAATAGTTCTCTTTCCTTGCATGCCGTTTAAACAAAGGTTCGTCTTTGTCAAGTGTGTTCAGTGTCATATCCTCATAATTAGGTTTTAAGGTATCGCTGCTGTGAGAATCGTTTCGACTCGAAGTTGACAAGTCAAATTTAGGTTTGACGTCCTCTTCCAAGTCCAAATCTTTTTCCCATTCTTTCATTTTTCTTTCATTTTTCTTAGTGTTAGTTTTTGCAGGTATTTCGGGTATTTCTTGATCAATATTAGTGTTCTGGTCTAATCCGTTACCATTGGCTGTAAGATCCTGTAATGTGCTTGTAGTTGGTGTCAGTGGTCTACCTTTAGGCGGTAACTCTGGTTGACTTGTTGAGTTTTTAATCCAAATATCATTATCTTCTTCGACCTTTTTCGCCATTCCAGTTTCGACTTTGAATTTTTTCTCTGGTAAAGACGGCGGGGGTTTATTGTCATTGGAGTCACGCAATTCGTCACGCAACAGAACCTCTGCATACTCAGTAGGCCTGGGACTAGTTGGACTCTTTATTGAGGTAGGTGACGTTGCACTATTGTCCACCGCTACCTCGACATACTGCAAAGACTCCTGCGTCTTCTGAAAGAGTCTATTCTCTTTGATGCCATTTGTAATAGGATTTGGGTAGGAATGTTTTGGAGACGTGTGTTCCCTCTTTGGTTCTGCGGGTGGAGTACGATCATTTGGTTTGCCGAAACTACTCATCCTTGGTCTCTTATCGTGGACTGGTGACGACTGCTCTGTAGCTGTCAATCAAAAATTCCAGGTCAGTAATAATAAATGATAATGATTAAATTCATGCCGGGTCCTTCATACAACTGGCTGTGACAGCTTAATGCAGTAGGACAAGTGATTTATCATCATTTTGATAATAGATACAACATGCTCCCTTGTTATGACATGCAGATTGCTCAATGTAAACTTTGTCCAGCATTACTGTCGTACATTATGGTGATGAATCGTCATTACAAATTATATTTATAATGATCTTTATATTAGAATAATGGTTATTTTCCTAATGATAACCAGTAAAGCAATACTGTCAACAAATAAATAAGAATAAATAAGACAAAAACGTACCAGTAGGTAATGTAACCATTTCGTATTTCCCTATTGGTAGCACACCAGCATCTTTCAATGACAAAGGTTTACCTGAAACTGAGCCAAATATGAACAAGTTATAACTGGCTATAACTGGTTTAGTAATAAGAGAAATGCCAGGATAGTACCTGAAGTTTTCTTTGTGTTTAATAGCTTCACCATGGAAGAGGGAAAATAACCAATGATTTCTTTCTGTATAGTGAAATGAAATTATTCATGAGCCTATTTTTCTTTACAGAAATAAGAGAATAACTAGGGAGGAAAAGAAAGGGAAAAGAAAGGAGAAGAACCAACATATTTCTTCCAAAAAAAAGTTCAGTTTACAGGAAAGTAAGTGAATGATAGAATGAGTGAGCGGTAGATTTATACAACTTCAATCATCAAATTGAAAATTAACATACTATTAATAGAAGAGACTATGTGGTAGCCATTCATAAATAAAATGCATTATTTAAAGTATTTATTTGTTCAGTGAACTTACTTTTCCATTATGCACTTTACCCTTCCACCGGCCATTTTCATTCTTCTCAAGTATCTACAATAAAGTGGTTAAAATATATGATTTTTTTGCAGTATATCTATATTTGTGAATACTTTTTAAAATTTCTTCAAGGTAATGATCTTTTTTTTCTTGTCATTACTTGTTTATTAATTTGAGACATTGAACTGTTTGTCTGTAATTTAATATTTATATTATTTACCTCTACAGTATCTCCAATTTTTAATGACAAACATGTTGGGTCATAAAGATTACGATAATCATGTACTGCTTTGGCAATAATGACTTTACTCTTGGATGCTTCTGTTGAAGAAGAAAAAAAGGACCCTAAGTTAGCTAAACAATACCAGATGCAATGGAGTGATACAAGCAGTTTTCATCGTTCACAAACCTCTCAGAAGATCCTTTATGTCCTGAGAAGCCCCTGACTTTGTAAAATGATTGACAACATCTAGTGGTGTGTAACCCTCTTCATTCGTAATACTGACATCAGCTTCATTCTGGAAAGATTATCAAATGCTGGATATAAAAATGGTTCCCAGTAAAATCACTAGTCTTGTTAGTCCCTTCCCTGTTGTGGATAACATACTTACATCAAGTAGTATTCTGACAACTTCTGTTTTTCCATATAGAGATGCTTCATGTAATGCTGTACCATTAGTGCCACGTTGATTGACATCAGCACCAGCATCTAGTAGCATTCTAATAGCGCAAACAATGACAATTAATCAAATGAAATCCACTTTGTATCAACTCAAATAAACCATTTTTATCGTTGACTTACGTTGTATACATTAGGCTGAGGCCATATAAAAGACAATGCAACAAAAACAGAGAAAAATATAACTAATAAAAGGCATATCAGTGATGAACTTACACTACAATCTCCTCTCGTCCTGTTTTACAAGCAATATGAAGAGGGGGATCAGCAGTTTTGGGATTTTCTTCAAACAGTGCTAAAAGTTTTGGGAAGTCGTTACTTTTTAAAAGCAACTCCACAACCTGAGAAAAATATTAACAAAAACCATCTGAAAACTGCAAATACAACAACATCACATCAAGTCTCCTCGCACACGTTTCTTGTGCTGGGCTCCCTGTCCCCCGCCCCACAAACGTTTGCGAGGAGAATATATCACAGCTTAATGGTTTTTATAGTTTTCAACTGACCTGAGCACATCCAAATCTACAGGCCAAATCAAGGGGTGATTCACCATTTTTATTGACAACGGTACAATCAACATTAGAATCAAGAAGTATTTCAACCTGTCAACATAAAACAGTTTAATATAAACTAACTGCAATGAAAAATATCTGTTAAAGGATTTTTGAAAGGAACACTTTAGACCCTGAAGTCTACATGAAATTATGTTTGCATTATTTATTGTACGTCATGCATTTAATAATATCATGCAAAAGGGACTATATTTGCATTGTACATGCATTTATTGATATGCAAAAGGAACCGTATCTGTACATCTGACTCACCACTCCTGCATTATGGTGCTGACATGCAAGATGCAGTGGAGTATCGCCAGTATCAGCACAGGTATTAACACATGCTCTGTACTGTACTAGCAACTTAGCTATCTCTGTCTTACCAGCCCAGCTTGCAAGATGTAATGGAGACATGCCTAATAAAACATAATAATTACTTTACCTAAAGATAATGCTACATACTAGACTGAATCAAAAAAATAACAGATATATGTAAACATAAAGATAATAAACAATATAATATGATGATAATAATGATGATGATGATGATGATGATGATAATGATGATCAGACATTAGGATTTTTGAAAGGACCAATTCAGACCCTGAAGTCTTCATGAAGTCTTCATGAAATTATGTTTGCATTATATTGTACGTCATGCATCTAATATTATTATTATGATAATAATGATATAATAAAGATAATAATAGCAACTCATCCATGCAAATAGAACAAAAAACTACATTTGTATTACTATATTCACGAACAAAAGGCTTGTGATTCAAGAACACTGATTTTTAGTTGGTACGTACATTCCAGAGACTCTGATTTCAAAATTCAAAACCATTTCAAAGATAAAATATTGGCTATGAAATTTCCAAAAACATGGTTATCTGAACATCAAATGAAAACCAGTATTATTTCCAGTTTCTTTTCTTGAAAATCTTTTACATTATTTCGAAAATCCCATCTTATCTTCCGCTGCCTCCCTCCCTACCCACTACCTGTGCTAATCTTGAGCCTAAGTCCCTCACCTTTCTTGTCTCTAGCGTTAACATTACATTCAGGAATGTCCAGCAATGCCATGGTGATTTCTGTGTTGCCCATAAGTGCTGTATGGTGAAGTGCAGTGAACCTGAAACAAAAACAACCAAAATTCATGTTTAGATATCTAATAACAGGATAACTAGGAATATATCAATTTGAATCAAAACATCTAAAGAGTAGAAGCAAAATAATACAAACAAAAACAAAATAGATACACAGACAAAAGCAATCAAACAATATTAAAAGAATGTATAGCGAGTAATAACATGAAGGAATAAAGTAGTTTGCAATACTGACCCGTCCTCATCTTGAACATTGATGTTTAGTTTTCTGTTTCCTTTTTCTGCAAAAGTATTTTTGATATCAATGTTGTTAGTACATATTATTTCTTATATCTCACTGGCATAAAATGCTGATTGGCAGTGAAATTCCTCTTAATGTTTATTCATGAATTCCAATCAACTTTGGATTTGCATCTACTTGACAAAAATTAAGTAAACAGGCTAAACTCTAATAAGAACAAATAAGGTAAAATCAATTTTCTAAAAGGTCTTTTGTAACTGTCAAACTTCACCTGTCAAAGCTAATGGTAAGTTTAGAGCGATTTGTACAGTGAATTCAGCAGATGTACGATTTTACATTCAAGTTTGTTTGGACGACCTCTCAGTGTATAAAGCTTACAAGGTTGCACAATGCATTACATTTCCATAAAATGACAACTGTTGTACGTTGAAGAAAAATAATAATTTTAATCGATAATGTGGCTAATAATTATATAACTTCTATATTTAATGATTGATAGGTTAATCTGGAGAACAATCAAATGAAAGATCTATTTTCGTTTGACTTTAGATTGTCATTTGATTTTTACTTCGATAAAGGAATATTTTGGCGGAACTAGCTTCGCTGGAGCAGCTTGTCAGAAAAAATGGAATTACCGTACTATTGCTTAGACAGGTGACGAAATATGTCTACAACATTATCTTTTGAAAAGCTAACAAAAAACACGTACATTTATATCATAGATTTAGGAGAATACCAAAGATAAACAATCCATTAATTGACCAATTTTGCATTGGGAGTTGATAACGATCAATATCAAATTGTCGCGTAATAATTCCAYGTCAAATCATACCATCGTGGTCTAACCTCAACAATTCACTATTAACATTTCATCAAGACATTTTTTACCAAATTCGTATTATAAATTTATACTTAATTAGTAAAATGATAAGGTTAAATCCAGGAATTCCGCTGAGAAGGAAACATTTTATTCATTGCCGCACAATGCGAACGAAAGAGGCCACGAAGGGGTTCCAAGCATTGCGAAAACCACAGCTTTCGTTTTGATTCTTTGCCGATCCACTTGACTTTAAACCCTCAATAGTTTGTTGCATTAATCCTTGAATACAAGTTTGTGATTATTTTGACCAATACCCAGTTCTGAAGGTCGTACATAAGCACAAGGTGGTGAAATATTGAAGTCGAGTCACGGCATCAAATGAGCAGCCCTCATAATTGCCATTAAGCAACAAAATGACTAGGCTTTACTTATTATTCACTTTAAATAAGCCTTAAAATAATAATCAAGATACGATAATTGAGCATTTGGGAATAAAATTTGTCACAACAGACAGACAACTTTGAAGAAGAAGTTTGCGTAAAATACTCACTAGATTTAGAAGACGTAATTTTGCTGAGTATCTTCCTAACTGTGCCCACATCATTCGTTTTAACGGCCTGAATTAAATCTTGGTCTTTTCCCATGCTGTATTCTCATTCAAAGCAACTGTGAGGAAACAGTAAAGAGTTTCTTCCCTACGAAATTGTTCAACTGCAGCAAGGCAAACCTTCAACTTATTCGTCTCATGACATCAAACTAGTTTACGAACTAAAGTCCAAACTTATGGAAATCTTGGGTTAACCTATTCATGTATCATTATAGCGGAATAATGTCTGTAAATAGCTCGGCTATAACTGTGAATTTCCAAATATAATGACCACAACACAACAGAATATCACTTCGCTGTGTCAACACGAGCTTCAACGAAGATCCAACGATGGGACTTGAATCGCTTCGGGGCCGATTCGCATTTTACGAATTTGACGTCATTTCCCGTGGTTGTCGCCAAAAAATCTTTCAAATGTATCTACACAAAAGACTAAACTTCCAATCTTTATTAGATCAGGAACATTTACAAACTGATTACAATAATGGCGAACTTAGATAGCTGCTATATGGAAATCATCTAAAATTACACGAGGTTCGACCGGAAATGGGAACGGAAGGTTGGTATTTGAGGGAGTAGGTCATTTCCTGTATGCGCGGTAGTGACTATGGCCAGCTATTAAATTTGATTTGATGAATTCCTTATTAGCACTTGATGACAATGTTTTCCTATCAAAGTTTATCCGTCGTTAYACTGAACATCGAAACGTCAATTTTTGTTGTCAAAAACGCACGGATCTCAGACTTACAAATATTTACCGAGTAACGCGMCGTCATGATCGTGATCAAAGAGACAGACAGAGACAAAAAACAAACAAAAGAATATAAACAAACTGTCTACTTTYCGTATAGCATTATAAATCAAATGTATCGTTACTAATATAGGAGTGGCAGTACCGCCGAGTATTAAAACAGGGGGGACATGCTGACAACAGGAGTTACCCGCAGAATTAGAGCAATATATAGGATTTGTAAAAACTGTTAAAATTTATTTTGATCTAATACATAGTTGTTTACAAGTATGTWGATGGTCTAGATGGTCTATCGCAGCAAGTTTTCATGATCSGTAMGGACCTCTACAACTACACCCGAAAGGGATTATGGATACAATTAAAAAGAAATTAAACGATTATAATAAGTACCAACACCTTCTAAAAGACCCAAGGCGTAAAATAAATGTGAAGTCTTTTTAAAGACTTCTATCAAAATGCTGTATGCGCGAATCYTATTGGCAGCAGGGCGTCGTRCTGCAGCACAATCCACCGCCATCCATATCTAGACCTCTGAACGGATCAGCAATTTCATATACATCACACACATCTCCAACACCAYCWRCRGGCTTTACGTCAAAGTGCTCGGCAAATCTTGATTGACGTATGATGTCTGCAATGTTGGCAGAGATATCACAAGCCTCACCAGTCTGAAAAAGTCATTCAAATATTAGAAGATCAAGAGTACAATTAAACGAGCAAGGGCTAAGATCGCTTGGGTATGATTGCGACTGAAAAGCATGTATGGATAGTTCACTGAATCAGCAGCGCACTGCATGATATGCCTATTTTAAAAAAACGTTGTCGTTGCCACGACATATTCCACAGTGTTGAAACTGCAAAGAATCTCGGGATTGCGATATATAATTATGTGTTTACTTTCAGTTATTCAAAACGCTCGGTCTTGTTGCGAATATAGCTTTGAAGCTAATAGACGGTTTTATAAACGTGGAACATTGGCAAGGAAAATTCTCATGGCGAGATTTTTTGATGGGTTTAATACACGCAATTAATAGTATTGTTTGCCTCCATTGAATTTAAACCATATAAACAAAATATATATTGAATATGTATTAATTACGCATGAAAACCCCGAGATTCTTTGCAGGCTCGAGACTGTGGACTGTGTCCTGGTAACGACAACGTTTTTTGAAATAGGTGTATATACAATTGCTATAGTGATTTTACCTTGAACGTGTGATAAATATCAAACGTGAACTCATCCGGGTGTTCTTTGACAGATCCTGAAAATTAGATATATAAAACTTTAAAAAAAAACACACATTATTTGCACCAGAATAGTCACATGATTGCCTAGTCGTGTTTTTCATATTGAACCACKCCCAAACTACGGAAAGCCAGATTTTTACCTTTGTATGTCGCTACAAATTTCTCTTTGCTCTCCTCATCACTTCTTGGGACTTTGAAAAGACGGTAAGTAGCGGAGGCAAACTTGGCATCACCTTTTAAAGAGATTCATGGTTATAATGCATTGATCAAAGTCGTTACAGTTAACTGATATTAAGGTTAGGAGGTTCAGCTAACAATCGTCTTATGAACATATAAAGATATATATTATACCCAAGGAAAGGTTCGGGGCAGAAATGTAGAATTTTGTCGAATAACACTTGAYTAACAACATTATATACTCTCCGGTATCAGTCCCTTTCGAAAGAAACTGGAAAGCTCCATTATTTTTCAATGACTTATTGAAATTCCCCCAGCATGCATATTGAGGATCGGCAGATACTCATCATTATTTAGCATTAATTGGTATTAAAAGATCTTTCTTCTTCCTTATCTATACATACTAGTGCATAAAAACACCATCAAATTGTYACTTACCTACAATTTTCTTGAGTTCTTCTTTGGTAACGATGATAGCCATTCTTTCAACTAAGTATGGACCACTAAGTCCCACCTCCTTAGATATATCGACCAGCTCTTTCCACCATAGTGCTCCAGAGATGCATTGGCCTTGGTAATTAAAGAAAACAGCACTGAATAAAACCGCAAGTTAAATTTACAAAACATGTACACTTCACGYGAGCGGAGCCGGTATGTAGTGAGTAGATTAGCATTCCGTTGCACGACGCACCACTCGATATAGCACCGATGCAACTCCGATTAAACGCCAATGCAGCTCACACTAGTTTAAATCTGGTTGGTTTGTCTTACTGCTGAATAATYATAACTGGTAAAGAATTGCAAATGAACGAGAACTGAAATGTCCAAGATAAAATTGATGTATGTAGCTCACCCCAAAGCTCTTCATCGTTCTTGATGTCATCAGACAAACGTCTATCGGCATAGACATCGCTGAAGTAGATTTCCCCTCCATCCTGGAATAGGCAGTATAATAATTATATGATAGCTATTGATAGTCATGGCTGTGTCATATTTATATTCATTTTTTTAAATCTTTTAAGACTGAATCTTTTCATGAAAATCAAATGRATTACGATACCTTGAGAACTCGGCGAGCCTCGTTCAGCACTGCCTTTTTATCTGGCGTCAGGTTCACCACACCATTGGAGCTATGTATGTTAAGTCGAATATATTTTAGGTGTTCTTTGTAAAGGGTGAATTGGGTTCATAAAGATGGGAAATAATTCTTGCCAATATTCAGACATTAAACAAGCATTCAATTCTGCTGTCTTGGTTTAGCTTTTTCATATGCGGAAAATGAGAGGACTTTAAGCTATAGCAACTGCTTTCCAGACGATTGAATCTTATGATATTCTTTCATGTATTTATTGAATATAAAGGATCTGAAGGATAATAATAAGCAAGTTTTTGTTTGCTGCATATTACAATGTATCCTTATTTTAAATATATGAGCAAACGTTCCTAAGGCATGCCGGTCGGTGATAGATCTTTAGTCAAGAAAAATCAACTACTGTACTTACATAACGATGTCTACAGAAGAGTCATGAACTCCCACTTCACTCAGCTTTTCAATGTAACCAAGTTTAAACTCAACATTGGACTGAGAGTAACCAAATTTGTCTTTGTGATAATCGAYGTATTTATTGGAAACATCCAGCTAGGATTAATAAGAGCAACATTGCATTACCGCAAATACTCGAAATGACGACGCGGCGCGCTTATCAGTACGTCAGTGGTCACTAGTGACGCTTGGTATTTGGACTTGTGTGTTCGCCCTTCCATTCAAATCCATAGAGCGGATTTCGTATGGACTGTGCAACGGCGCGGATCACAACACGGATCACGGCACTGCACGGTCACGGAACCTTGCCTTCTAGGATTCCAAATAAAAATATAGATTTATACTGTAACACTACATCAACGCTACGGCACGGTACGGTCACAGCGCGAAAGTACCGTGTTTAATTTTTTGCACAGTCATACGAAATCCGCCCTAATATATTCTTTTTCAAGGCGGTATCTTTTCGAATATTTACTTGACTTACAATATACACATTTCGTAACAGAAAGGACAGGTTGCAATGAAAAATTCGAAGGCTAAAACAAACATGTTATACCATTTCTTGCATCATATCTATCCCAGTGACGCGTCCCTTTTCGCCAACCATCTTACTAAGGAGAAAGCTGTCACGCCCTGCTCCAGAGCCTATATCAAGAACGGTCTTGCCCTCGAGAACTTGTGGRATTACCAAACCACAACCGTAAAACCTGCACGAGGAAAAAGAATAATCTTTTAAAGCAGTCAAAACAAAAATCGTTCACAAAACGTAACAAGAGGATGACCTTTCAACTTTTATAAAGTTGTAGTTGACAGGTCCGACTAGTATTTGCATTGATTGTAACTTTCTTCTAACAATTTGTTTTTTTATTGGACCTTATTAGAAACCCACAATCGAGACATACAAAAATGGACAAAAGAATACAATATTCTTGATAATAGAATATAGAATATATATGCATATACATAGCAAACTTCTGCTACTTGCATGCAGATAACAAACTTATGAAGAACATGAAAATCTTTAATGCCCCAGATTCACTTYGATTTCTTAGATTTCTGGCTACAACCTCAAGTTTTTCACCAACTTACTTGGATAGTACATCTTTATGGCAAAGACTTAGTGCCTCTTTGATATAAGAAGGAGCTTCTTTTATGCTTTCATCACGAATTACACTAAACGAGCAGGAAGGTTTTGCCTCAGGCGTAGACTTCAATTCCTTACGGTAGTGCTCCTTTACGTTTTCTTTGATTGGATCATAACTGGAGTCACTGCTAAAAGGTTTTCTGCTGCACGACATAATCTCTTTAAATATTTTCCTTGCAACAAATATATTCGAATCACTTCTGGTATTTCCACAATCAAGGAAGCCCCGACGGAAAATCACTAGACACTACGTCACGTCACGTGCATACTAATATTYCACAGGGAACCCAACAACAAAAAAGGAAAGAGGCACGAAGTCACAAAAAAGTGCGTTTCCATATCAACGGATCCTTGCTGAATTTAATTCAGTGCCCTAGTGYCACYATAAAACGAARATTTGAAATGTCTTCAAATGACTGTACTACAGAAGTACATAACCAGAAGTGTCAATCTCGTTAATGTACTTTTGCTGTACTAGCATTATCTAAATGACGTAATTTCTGTACAAAAGTTAGTTTATGAGATCACTGTTTTAAGGCTTTCATCAAACAATGAAACCACGTATTTGCATAATCTTAATATTTCTTCCAACTATTTCATCTTTACATTATTTACAAAAACTAAACAAAAAATCATTTCTATAAAAATAGTATCTATTGACTTGTTTAACCCCAGGCTTGACTCTTGCAGTAATGTAAAACCAGTTTACCATCTGCACCAAAGCACTAAAAGTAAATAATAACAATGATGAGTGATGAAATTCTCGCCCTATTTTACTTGTGACATCACTTAAGAGGTAACATCACTCCAGGGGGAGAGGGTACAGAGGGAGTTGTGAATCAATCTCTTTAAAAAGTGGACATAGGCCAGTTGTCGTCCCTCTTAAGGCTGAATTAGACGACACAACTTTTCCCTACAACTATCGCATGCGTCCTGCGTAAGTCATCCTTATGACATGGCTACAACTGTCGTGAGGCTATTAAGCAATTGTTTAAAATCCCTACGACAGTTGTAGCCATGTCGTAAGGATGACTTACGCAGGACGCATGCGATAGTTGTAAGCAAAAGTTGTGTCGTCTAAATTGGCCTTTAGGATTTCAATCAAACACAGATTATCAATATTAGCCTAACATTGATTCCTTAAAATAGTGTTKGGCTTCCTGTTTCTTTACAAAGACTGAGAGATCCTGGGACCAGCCTTGTTTGACAAAAGGAAGGAAGCTCACTGCAAGCTGGCCACTTAGCTACAATSCTAACAACATATAAACTTACCTCGTAAAGATTTGAAACTATTTGATCAGGAGAAGGAGCAAAAGCTTGTCCAACATACAGAAACTAACAAAGAAAATATATTAATTAATACTAGTAATAAGTAATTAGATAATATTTACTTAAATATATGTACATGTTGCTGGTCTTCA